TTTTTTTTTTCTTTTGATAAAAGGTATTGCATATTCTATGCTAGCTGGGGTTCCTCCAGTGGTTGGCATCTATATGGCGTTTTTTCCAGTCCTCATTTATGCTTTAATGGGCACTTCAAGACATTTATCAATAGGTGAGAAAATATGCATGGTTATTTATAAATGTGAAGTAAACAAAAAAAGAAAAAAAAAAGAAAAAAAACGTGGCCCTCCGGCTATGTCCAGGGTATGCTGGTTATGCTGCAGTCAACTTGTTAATTATCTTACCTGAACTTGCAATTTAACAATAATCAACAATTTTTTATTTATTTTTTCAGGAACTTTCTCTGTTGTGTGTATGATGACAAGTAAAGCAGTTCTAATGTATTCAGAAACAGAAAAAAATCCAAATAATTCAAATTTTACGCTAGTGGGAATAAGTATGGCTGAAAATCACTCAAGTTTATCACCAACCCAAGTAGCATCAGCTGTTTGCTTTGTTGTGGGGTTTTGGCAGGTATGGTTTTTTTCTTTTTTCAGCAATGTAGTTAAAAACTGAAAAAAAAAAATTACCTTCCTGCCTAACCTCTGGTAAGTGTTTTGTCTCTACTTTATTTCCAGGTGGTAATGGGAGTTCTTAAAATGGGTGTATTAAGTGTTCTGTTATCGGAAACGTTAGTAAGTGGATTCACCACAGGAGCTGCGATTCATGTAATCACTTCTCAAATTAGCAAATTCTTCGGAATCAAATTACCTAGGCGCACAGGAGCTCTAAAGATTATCTATGTGAGTGAAGACATGTTTTGACTCTTGCTTATACTGTAGATGTGAAAGCACTCTATTTACATTGGGGTTTTGGTTTTCAGTCTTATTATGATCTGTTTTTCCACATAACAGAGGCGAATCTTGTGACTGTTGGTATATCTCTTGCCACAATCGTCATCTTAACTATATGGAATGAACTTGTAAAAGTAAGTGAAATTATTTAAATTTTTGTTTCCTCTAATTATTTTTATTTGTTTAAAGGACTGGCTGATGTCTTTTTTTTTTACATTCTAGCCTCGTATTGAAAAGAAGCTTCCAATTCCTATACCAATAGAACTGTTTGCTGTTATCATTGGTACAGCTGTTTCTTACTTAGCAGGATTTGAAGAATTTTACAAAGTCAAAACAATTGGCCATGTCTCAACAGGGTGAGGAATTCTCAGTAACCTCACTACATGACTTATTTTATTCCTGAAATTGCTCTTCATGAAAGATTGCATTACCATAGGTTACCATTACCAGAAATTCCACCTTTAGCTCTTTTCCCCCATCTTCTTGTTGATGGATTGGTTATTTGCCTCGTGGCCTTTTCCATAAATATGTCAATGGCCAAAATTCTTGCACGAAAAGCTGGGAACTATTCTGTAGTGGCAAATCAAGAACTCTTGGCTGGGGTAAGTGCTAGGTACCTACCAGTGATACCTCTTAAATGCTAATTTTTAAATTTTGCTTTCTCATGAAAGTAAAGAAATTAAATAAAATTTGTTAAACTAATTTATATGTTCTTCTCTCTCTTTTTAGGGGTGTGCAAACCTGTTTGGGTCTTTATTTGGATGCGTCCCCACAGCTGCATCACTTTCAAGGAGCATGATTCAGCTGAAGGTTGGTGGAAAGACACAATTTGCCAGTTTCTTTTCATGCTTCATACTTCTTTTTGTACTCCTCTTTGTTGGGCCACTTTTCCAGCCTTTGCCAAATGTAAGTTGTTTTTTTGTGTGTGTGCATTTTTTTTGTCTGCTTTCAAGAAAATAACTCATTTAACTCAATAGACACTATTTTGCCTCAGTGTGTTCTAGCATCCATTGTTGTTGTGGCCCTTAAGGGCATGATTATGCAAGTGAAAGATCTCTATCAAGCTTGGAAGCACTCCCATGCAGATGCATTAGTGTGGTTGGGTTCATTTCTTGGAGTTGTTCTCCTTGACATTGACTATGGCCTAGGTATTGGAGTCTCCCTATCTCTTTTGACCTTAGTCATCAGAGGACAAAAGCCACTTCTCAGAGTACTTGGCAATGTTCCGGGCACTCAACTATATTTAGACATCAAATGTTATCAATCTGTAAGTATTTCTTTCTTTTTCCTTTTATTTCAAATGAAGAAAAACGGAATTTGGGGGCAGTTTTATGGTGCATGGAAATTATTTGTATCTTTCGTTTAAAGGCTGTTGAAATTCCTGGTGTGAGAATTATTCAAATTGCTGGTGGGTTGCACTTTGCAAATAATGAATATTTTCAACATAAAATCTTATCTCTTATGGAAGGGGGAAAACATGATAAAGCCCTTCATGACAATCATATTGGTTCCAATCCAACAACAATTGAAACAAACAATCATTCAAAGGTAGAGTAATACTAAATACTTAAAAGAGAATACATATCAATTCACTGTAAAATCACAGGTTACGTTGTGGTACATTATGTAAATTAATATGTTGTTTTCCAGCCATTATGTTTGGTACTGGATATGGTTTCAGTTTCCTTTGTTGATCCATCATCAGTGAAAGGGTTACTTTCTTTACACAAAGACATTCAAGAACAAGGCCGTATATTGTGCCTAACAAACTGTTCATGTAAGTATTTTCTTGCTTGCCTACCTTGTCATATATATATAACCCCAACTACTAATTCAAACTTTGATTTTTTAGGGAACGTGTATGAAAGCTTCAATAAATGCAGTTTTTTTAAAGACTTCCCTGATTCGTACTTATTTTCTTCAGTTCATGATGCTGTTGTGTTTATATCAAGGCAGTCAGTAATGTTGTGATAAATATAATACGTGGCTCTCTTTTGGATCTGTCACATGTGTTCTAATTCAACGATCTTTGTAGGACATATGCAAATGTGGGTTTCTTGTACCTATTTATTTTCCTATTTATATTTCTCTCTGTGATTTAGTAAATTTGCTAAAGAAAATGCGTACATCAATTTAATCAACTGGTGAACCTTGGGACTTAATGTTTTTGTAGAGTTGTTGTGTGATTTTTTATTTCTCTTCCGTATGGAATGCTTATAGTGAGAAATGATATCAAAAAGATATGTACATCAGAAATGTTTATATTTTTGTACCAGATTAATCAAAATGTTATCCTAAAACTGACCCATATATGAAGTTTGCTATCATCGATTCACTAATTTAAAAAAATTCTCACTGGTTGGTTCACTTAAAACCAGAACTTACTTTGAGTTGCAGACAACCATAGTTGTGCTCACTTAATTATCTTTATGTGGCTATTGTTCTTAAACATCGCAAACAGTGTGAAAAAAATCTTTGTTTAATACTTATTCAGAGGCTGTGGATTTGTTACGGGCACAGTTTGTTTATTGTTGTTAAAGCTGATCTGCATATTTATCTATTTTTTAGCAAGCCATTTGCATGTACATAGAAATGCTGGTATTGTGCTGAAATTAAAAGAGATTTATAAGTTCAGTGTGGACCAGTTTTCTAGTCTCATAGCACGCGTTTTTTCCTACGGAATTCAGGGTGGAGTGTTTCCTTTGTCATCTTCTATAGTGAGGTTTTGTAGTACTTTATGGTGCATAATATTAATGACATGCCCATTTTTGTGCTCCCTACAAAATCGTTAAATCACAGCATTTGTATCTTATTAAATGTATGTATTGTTCCAAACAGTATTAATTCTCACTTGTCTGAATACCACACTAATGCTGTGAATTTTAAATCATAGTCTTGTCTTGAAATAGTTGGTCCATCAGATTGACAAATAGAGTGGTGCTGCAAATTATAACCACTGTGTCGAAGATGGTGGTTTCATGTTTTATTGCTGTTATTTATAGGAATCTGAATGACTGGTGCAGTAGGTCCAGCTGGAAATGGCTGTGCTATTTTTATTTTTTTAAAGTATGTGTTGATGTTATATTGTTTTACATACTGTGCCTTGAGGAATGGAAATTTTAGAAGTAATAAAGACATTTAACAGGAACGGATTGCATTTTTTGGCTTTTAGTTCTGTTTTGAAATTTAGTTTTCCTTGCGATTGGATTATTGGTGTGAGCTGACGTTTTCGTCTTCAAGTTTACTTCAACATCATATTAGCGTGCTTTTTTTTTTCTGCTCTATATGTTACAAATAAAATGGCGGACATCACCGCCACTTTGATTTTGCATCCATTTTTTGGATGGTTTGCAGTTCAAAGTTATCTTTTTAAAGTTTTTAATGGAAATCTCAATTAGATTATAATGTCAGAGAAGGGGGCTGAACCCCTGCTTTATTTTTGTTGCTTTATGTTTTTAGAAAATTCACAGTTGAAAGGTTTTTCCTTTTTTTTTCTCTTTTTAAATCTCCTATGTAAATGTTATAATAACTTCTCTGGCAAAAAGTGTCCAGAGCTAGCGCCAGCGCCAGGCTTGCGCCAGGCTTTCTCACCGCAGTAACGCCCTGCCGGTTAATTCAAATGTGTCCCGCCGTGCTCGCTCGCGCTCCTTGAAATTGTAGTGTTGCCATCTTCGCAACACACATAATGTCGAAAATCGCAATGCATTGTAATACATTAAATGCATCTAAACGATAAGAATGAATTTATTAATTTTAAAGAAAATAAATAGTTTTCAGTTAGTCCTTTCCAATGCAGTTTCAACGGCTTTTGAATGTTGCTGTACCAGACCAGACTAGGCTTAGGAGGCTACATGACCTGTTTGAGCTTGAGCAAGCAAACAATCCAAATAAAAACACGACACTTGTACTTGTTAAGACGTTAAGACCAAAAAACAATTCGTGAGCCATAATTTGAGGTACTTATTTTCATTCGTCTGTAAAAGTCAAGTATTACTACATGAATTACTATCAGTTATTCAGATGAGCGAAAGAAAATATGTTATTTTGAACTTTTGAATCATACAGCTCACTGCATCGTGAAAATGTGAATGTTTCATGCTTCTCTGAACCAGGAGACATGTTTATTATTTTGCACATCTTTTGTTACAGTCGTTTACAATGACGAAGTTTTGTGAACCCTGCGGTTTAACATTGTCCATTGACAGCTACAAATCTCATATACTTGGCAAGAAGCATAAGCTTATAGAAACAAATTTGGAACAGAAGAAAAAATTAGAAGAAACTGGATTGTTTATCAGAGGTGTTCCAAATCAGCCTATTTATTCTTACTTCATACAGTTCTAATCCATTCATTCTTTTCTAACCATAACCCATTGTGCCTTGTAGGTGTACCGTATAATATCAAAGCTGCGGAACTTCGCTCTAGATTTGGTCAGTTTGGAGATATATCTAAAATTGAGGTGTATGGAAGTAAAGCTTATTTAAACTATGTTGATAAGTAAGTTCAAAATATCCGTACCCTATAGAATTCTTATTTAACTAATTAGCTAACAGATAACTGTATTACTCGCATGGTGTTTCAGGATATCGTGTGATGAAGCTCTTAAACATAAACACATTATTAACAACAAAGTTTTAGAGGTGAACCGCAGAAAATTTATTTCAAGTAATACTTTAAGTCTGTTACTGACACATATTAGTAACCCTATTACAGCATGTTTTTACTTGTACTACCTCCCTATGGTTTAACAGATTCACCTGGATCCTCAGGAGTTGGTCATGGACAAGGGCAGAAGAGAAGCTTTGATAATATCCTTAAAAATGCAAAGCCATCACAGACAAAGAATAACTTAGACTACAATGAAGTCTTAAATGCCATTTCTGCTCCTGCACCAATCATTTATCAATTCTCAACACTGAAGAGCTTATTATTAGCAGGGAATGAGAATTGCCATTCTATCATGCAAAAGATTTGTTATGATCTGGAACTTGCTATGAAAACAGTTTTCAGTAGTTGCAAGTTATATCCTTTTGGATCAATGACTACTGGTCTCGCTTTCAAAGACAGTGATCTTGATGTCTTTGCTGACTTAGGTTTATAATTGTTCTAAAATATTTTTACTGGTTTCCTATTGCAATGTTGCTATACCAATTTAATTGTTGAACTCTGTCTACCAATCTATTTTCAGAAATCAATCAATCAAATTGTCTCTTGCTGGAAGGAACTCAAAACACTGCAAAGAAAATTTTTGACAAAGCCAAAAGCTGTCTCTATCGAAGAGGAGATATATTTACAAATATAGTTCCAATTCAAGGTGCCAAAACACCCATAATCAAATTTGTTCACAAAGCTTCCGGTATCTCTTGTGATTTAAGCTTCAGAGATGCGGTTGGATATTGCAACAGTGGCCTTTTACGTCACTACCTTCAAATGAATGAAAGGCAAGTAAACAGAAGTGTTCTGAAATGAAAATAGAAACATTCAATTAGTAATTGTGTATGTGGAACTATGTGTACATTGAGAAACCCTTAGTAATTTAACTGCTTTTTTTTTTTTTTTTTAAATCTCATTTTTAATGTTTTTTTTTTTTTTTGACCAAAACATGTATTTTAATTTTTCAGGTTTTTTGAGTTAGTTTTCTTTGTCAAATACTGGTCTCGTATGCATCAATTTTGTTCTACTAGTAAATTCTCCAACTTTGCATTATGTATGCTGAGTCTGAGCTTCATACTTTCTCTGAAAGATTCAAAGGGAAACAAAGTGGTCCCACCAGTTCAGGACTTACTCAATACAGCTGATCAAAATGATCCGCTCTACTATGTTCAAGGTTGGAGATGTGCTTTCAACACTTCTCCAATCACTCTCGATTTGCCAAGCACACCTAATTTTACCATGCCAGGGCTACTAAAAAGCTTTTTTGAATACGTAGCTCAGTTACCATTTGAAACAAATGTCATCAGTGTACTGACGGGTGAATTAATCAGTAGGAAAATATTTGAAGAGAATCCAATAGAACTCCCCGAGGCATATGAATGTTACAAAACTCATATTGCTAGAAACCCCATTGAAGTTCTGTGTAAGGTAGGTTGGTTGTGAAGTTGATGCTATGTACTTGAAATAAGACCTAATATAATCAGTTGATATTTCTGTATCTCAGCCTGATGAGTGTGTCGTGATTCATGACCCATTCAAACTGAATCATAATCTAACAGGAAGGGTTACAAAGGAGGTTCTTCAGAGCTTTACATGTGCCTGCAAGGCTGCTGCTGAACTGTGTGCTACAGCCATGGACATTAATCAGTCACAGTCAACTCTTCTTCACCAGCTATTAAAACCGAATCAACCTTTACCAAACTCAGCTAAACACTCACCAGCTAAAGGTTCAACAGGTAGAGGAAATGTTGATTCTTCTAAGGCTGTTGTATCAATTTCCTCTGAAATGCCTGCAGATTTTCAAGGAAATCTTATGGAAAAAAGCACTAGATTTATCGCTACCATTTTAGAGAAACTCCTCTATTTTAAAATTGAAAAGACAATAGTAGGCGACAGTGTTGTTGAAAGCAAAGTTTGCAAAACTGATTTTGCGCAGGATGTTCATGAGGAAAACCAGACTACTGTGATGATCTGTCAAGGAACAAAAGATGTTTGGAATGGAAGGAAAAAGGCTCAAGCACTTCTTAAATTAAAGGGTATTTGTTTTCAAAACCCCCTGTCATTTCATGATGAGTCATGTGTTTCATCACATATTGCTGAAACAAATGTTGCCATTTCTAACTTCCATTTAGAATGTAGATTAATGTGTTGTAAAGGAAAGCTGTGTGTTCAATTTTATAATTTAACTGAAGGAAAACAAGGGCATTTTAATTCCTGTATGTCATTTGTGAAAATTGTTATTGGCAGATGGATTACTGAGTTTTCCAAAAACTTTTTAACTGATGATAAAATAATTTTAAAATAAAATAGTGCAGCCAATGGAAGTATGTCGTGTGATGAATGAAGAAACAACCAACAACACTTCATTATTTTATTTCACATAGCAAATAAAATGAATCAAAGTAATAGATCAACTATGATTTTGCACACTACCTCTTATGACCAAAACATAAGTCCCTTACATTGTCAAGGGGATTCAGAATTCTTATCCTTTTTTTTTGTTTTTTGTAAAAGGACATTAAAAACTTCAAAATGTTGATAAAACAGTGTACTTTTTTCTGCATCTTTTCATGCTACGCACCCAGAGCTGAAAAATGCAGAGTACACCCTCTAAACTACAACCTCAAAACCAAATAACTGACATTGCTACAAATTATAACTAATTAAATTGTACAATCTACAATAAAATGAGGGGTAAAACAAAACCAAAACTTGATTACAAAACCGATGGTGATCGTGCATTTGCTAACTTGCATATAAAGTTGCCTGATTCTTACACTTGCATTAAATGAAGAAGATAGTACATGTACCATATGCGAAGTATTTTGGAATGAGGTACAAACAACTAGGTAAAGTAGCCTTACAATCATACATCTGTGTTCAATCATCAGTTATTTCTTGCTTTATTATTCTGATCACGGACTTTTTCCGTTTACTGTCTTGCATTGGAACATCACATTCTATACTTCTTTTATTTGACCCTATCTGGGCATCCTCTTCACATGAAACTTCCATAACATCGGCCACTTCAGGAGTCAAGCCTTCATTCAGTTCAGAGTCAATGATAACAACAACAGTAGAACTGTCTTCATTCACTTCAGAGCCTTCATCAAGACGAACAAATTGTCCATGCTCATTCATATAGCCCTGAATCGTCTGGATTTCATCACTGGTAGTTAAGTTTTCGTCATTCTTCATTTGAAGAAGAGATAACTCCCTAAAAGTTGTAAAATTTTGCTTAAGTTTGGATCATTTTGGAATGTACGTACAATAAGAAATCTACTTCCAATGGAATAAATACCTTGTGGCATCCCCTGTGTAAACCTGTACTTCATCAGTTTCTAGACAGAGCTGAATGTTACCAGCCTGAGAGACTAGCTTGTAGAACGGCAAGTCAGATGACTGTATTCCTTCACCATCTGTATCAACATCTGAGATCAAGATTGATGCTGGATCATCTGCATCATCCTGAGATCCATCTCTGTTGCCTTGTTTGCCCTAAATGAATATTAAATTATCAGTAGATATACTTCATAAAACTGGAAATAAAACAGTTTCATTAAATCAAGACAAAACAGAAATAAAATTTACCTTCCTGTTGCCTCGTTTTTTTGATTTGGACATGTAAGCAGTTCCAGCAGCTTCTGCTTTTGCTGCTTTCTGATCTTTAAGTGCCTGACGAGTTTTCTGGAATAGCAAACAAAATATTACATACCCAATACACAACAATCTGAAGGAAAAAAGAGAAGCGAGAATGAATAGTACCTCTTGTTCTTCCTTTTTCTTCTGCAACTCTTTTTCCTTATCCCATAATTCATCTAGGGTGATAGGACGACCAAGTTTTTCAGACAAATTATTTAGGTACTCTTTGGTGACTTGCTCACCTTTCCTTACCCATTCTGGATCAACTTGACGAGGCTGACCTCCATTTTCTTGCATGATTTTATACCTAAATAAATTCAACTGATTAATATGTTGCACATGGATATGAAGTGGGCAACGACTAAAAAAGCTTAGTTAAAGAAGCATATACCAGAAAAAATACCAGCACATCAGAAAATCGTGTAAGAAAACCCCTATTATTATAAGAGTCAAAACTGAAAAATTCAGTTTCATGTATTGGCTTGAGACACCCTACTTTTTAGTCCAATCTGCTTAGATATTTGCGTCTAATGATACATACACTCAAATAGTAAATGCTCTCCCCTTATCTTATGTAAAATAAAATAATAAAATTAAAAAGAGAGAGAGAGGGAAAAGAGGGTGAGGGTGTTACCCTATATTCTGGCATTTAGGGTAATCCAATTTTAAGTGCAGAAAAATAAAAACTACATGGATGCGCTTATGATTGGATATCAACTGAGGGAGCTGTCAGAAGATTAATTTTGATAAGTAAAACACTTACTTTCTGTAGGAAAAATCAGGACAGTTGTGAATGGACCGCACATGCTTTGCAATATTTCCTTGCGTGTTGCAAGCAAAAGAACAGAATGGACAAGCATAAGGGCGTTCTTTTGTATGGATAGCGTGATGTCTTAAAAGATGATGCTTCGTTTGAAAACTTTTGTCACAGTCTCCACACTTAAATAGACGCTCTCCATGAACTGCATTTCGATGAACATTCAGCCTTGCAAGGCAGGCAAATGATGCTGTGCACTCCTCACACCTGCGTAATAACAAATGAGAATATGAATTACTTCATACATTCTACTGCAAGCTTCTGTTACTCAAAGAAATGTTCTGAGGATGATTTACTTACTTGTACGGTCTTTCACCAGTATGAGAACGCATGTGTTCTAAGAAAGCATTCTTCTGTTTCACACTGGCACCACAAACTGGACAAACATGATTGTTATATTCCCCATGATGGCGCATACGTATGTGAACACGTAAATTGTTAGGGCGATGTGTAACAAAACCACACTGCAGGAAAAATTTAACAACATTTACCCAAAACTCTTATGATAAAACAATCCTAAAAATTAGGTTCTTCTATCATGCTCACATTTAAAAATATAATTAAACAATAAATTACTTACAATATCACATTCATGTTTAGTATTCCTCTCATGTATTGCTTTGACATGGTCACGAAGGGTGGAATCTTTTGCAAATGCTTTCCCACAAAATTCGCAGATTTTATTCTTTTCCCCCGTGTGAATAGTTTGATGACGCGTTAAATCAACTTTTGTGTACGCCTTATAGTCACAGTGTGGACAAGCAAAATCCCTTTCATTGCGATGTCTCTTTATATGAAGTTCTGTGTAAGGTATGGTAGATTAAAGTTATAAAATAAAAATTTGAATAATTTGAAATATATTATGTATGAACTAGAAATTGTAAATGGACTTACGTAATCCACATGCTTGGCTGAATGTTTTATTACATTCAGTGCACTGAAATGTTGATTTTGATCCAGGCTTGGAAGATTTAGAAGATCCCTTTGGAATATTTTCTTTGTGCTTCTTGACATGCAAAGTTAGGGAAAACTTTGTTTTGGTCTTAAAATCACAGAAATGACACTCATATTCTGGAAAAAGACATTTTGAAACAATTAACAAAAATGGAACCTTTTTTTAAAGCTCTAACAACCATTGACTAAAAATAACTGTAACCTTGGAAATGGTTTGCCTCACCTTCTTTATCAATATCAGGGTCATCCTCCTCCTCCTCCTCCTCAGTAGCAAGAGGATCATATATTTCATCATCAATTAATTCATCCTCATACGTGACTTCATCAGTGGCAGTATCTGATTCAATTTTAACATTTATGACTGTTGTTTCGCCATCAGTAGACACAATTCCAGCATTAGACAAATCTTCACTCTCTTGACTATTTGTCTTATCTTTCAAGCACTCAGACTGATCTAAATTAACATTCACAGTTATTGCCTGGCTCAAATCCTTTTGAGATATTTCATTTGATAAGCTTGCAAGTATTTCTGCAGATTCAGCAACATCAGATGGTACAGGAATGTTTTTACGAGCACTGAGAGGTGATAATCCTTCAATCACAACATCTCTGGATTTGGTGTCATTCACAATTCCTTTGGGAGATGATTGCTGAGCCCTTGGCTTTCTAAGGCCTCTGATCAAATTAGCAGCATTAATGCGCTTTGTTCTGCGTCCATGAAGTGTCTTTACATCTTCCAACAGCACCACTAGACACAAAAACAAATCAGATTTTCAAATACATATTTTAAAAATTACAGGTTTGTGAACCTACGAAGGAAATCCTATTTCAATTTGATAAATCCATACTTTGACAATCAAATAAAATTTTACCTGGTGTTCCTTCATCAATGATAGGATTTTTACTTTCTTCTGCTTCCCTTTTGACTCGAACTCTGGAGAGCCCTCTGACTTTTCCTTTACTAGGACTGTCATGTGGCAGAACAATTTCATTTTGAGAAGCATCTGTTAGTTCACCTTCATCTCCATAGATGTCTTCATTCTCTCCAGATGTATCATGAGATATAATCTGCTCTGACTTTGAATTTGATACACTATTTTTTTTTGGAGTCTCCCCCCTTTTGGATTTAGGGCCAGGCCGCTTGGAGATAGTTTCATCTGTGGGGAAGGGAGGCAATTAGGAATGCATTAGTGAGCAAATCAGTGGTGGTCAATGAAAACAGTCAAACAAAAAAGTAACAAACCTGCATTTTGAGGAAGTTTTGAATCAGGCAGCTTCTTCTGGATACAACTAAGAGCCTTTTGACGGATGCTTTCAGGGAGGTGCTGAAGCTTCTTGAATAGAGCTTCCACCTGACAAGACAGGTAAGCTTAGGTAAGGATATCATTGCAAGTGGTAAAACTAGATCGTAATAAAACACTAGTGTTTTTTTATTATATTTCGCAAAAAAGCAATTTGAACATAGCTATAAGATTCAATAGTGAATGAAGGTTAGGTAGACAGGAGGTAATTGTGAGTATGCAAAGTTTCCGAAAGAATGCAAAACAAATGTTCAAGTCAACATGAGAACGACTGTAAACAAACATTTTCAACCCCGTTGAACAAGATAACTTTTAGCGGGAGAAACTTTGATGAGAAGGCATGAAGTGTTGTAAAGGCAGAGAGCGCACGCCATTCGTAGCTTTGGAGGAAAACCAAAGAGCGTCATCCGTACCCTTTATTTACGAAGCTTACCTCTTCCAAAACATCAGGGCTGTCGGCAACATCCATTTCTTACTGAATGGTAATGATAAACATTAAGAAATGAATTCATGCACTACAAATTCGCCATACTCAGAACGTAACCTTGCCACAAGTTTTTCTTCAACCCAACGGACAACGACGTACGTAAGTACAACGGAAGTTGAGAGGAACGCGTCTCCCTCCGCCCCTTCACCTCCCCTCTCGCATCGTTTCCGCCTGCTACCTGCAAATAATGATTGCGTAGATAACCATGCCTGTAAATAAAGCTGATTTGCTCTCTGAATGTAGTCTGCTAGGCGTCGTAAACATTATTTTTGCAATAATTTGTGTAATTTAATTCGGGAGCTATCTTGATCTCAACCCAACCGGCTATCATAGCCGTTTTGCATTGGTAAGCTTACGATAGGTGGAATCAATTCAGCCCTGGTCTGCTATTCTTAGTCATAGAAATGTGATGATGGGAAGAAACAAGATTATGAACACTTCGGTAAGTGATGATGGTTGAATCAGCGCGTATCAAAAAGCCGGCGAGAAAAGGGACTTTTAGTGGTTTACTCGACTTCTTCTTGTTTCATATTACTTCTCAACTACATTTTGATGTTGCATATGTACCTTTAATCAACCTTTTTATCTTTGTCCCCATCGGCATACACATATATTTTTTTTTTAAAAGGAGAAATTAATGTGGAAAAGTTCTGACGTTGATGTATGTTTGTTTTCAGGTAAAAGAAACTTTAAATTATAGACATAGCATGTGATTTTCTACCACTGAGCTCTATCAATATGTCTTCAACAATTATGGAAGATGCAGTCTATCTCTTAAATTCTCTCTTATTGGGAGAAGACCCAGTAAGTTTCCATTTCATATTCGCTCCCTACCAGTTAAAATCAAACTAGACCGAGTGGAAATGAGTTTTATACAAAGAGTTATTTTATAGCCGTGTTTTTAAATTACAGACTGTGGAAGACTTTATACTCCTTGTTGGGACATGTGTAGCATTCATTGCATTTATTCTATGGTGCTGTTTTCCTGTTGCCCCAAAGGATTCTCCAGGATATAGAAGAGCAGACCCATCGTATATTAATTAGATAAACATTCTTTATTTCTTAAAAGCAGTACAAAAAAGCAAGTGTACTGAAAACATTTAAATTTTGTTAATGTTACGTATACTTATTTACTACTCTTTACAAAGATATGGATGTTCAGAAACAGTTAAAAACTACCCCAGAAGCGCTACTGCATTAAATGCGCTTCAATGCGCATTGAAATGCACATAAAATGTGACACATTGGTGACACATTACATGCAAGTAGAGTGCACAAAATGCGCATTAAATGCGTATTAAATGCTGTAATAATGTGCTTTAAAAGCATCACCAATGTGTCGCCTTTTATGTGCATTTCAATGCGCATTGAAGTGCATTTAATGCGGTTGGCGCTACTGGGGTAGCAAGCCGTAAAATTGAGAGTAGTGAACTCCTTTACGTGTAGTCCTTCTCTCAGTTTTCTTTGTTTCTTTTTTTTTAAAGGATAATCAATTCTAAAAGTTCAGTTTTTAAAAATTTATGTCTTTGATGGTGGGTTTTACGTTAACTTGTATTTAGATATAAATTGCACAAACAGTGGTATCTAAGCTAAGTATCAAATGTGCCATACATTTCTAGTTTTAAAAAAAATGACTTTGTATCCGTAAATGGTACAAAAAAGATCTCTTGATGTAGACTGATATCATTCAAATATGTTGAAATGTTTGAGGACTCATATTGTGAACTATGATTAAGATATGGTATCATGTCTCATGGACTTTTTCTTTTTGACTCATTTGCTTACCTGAAATGATTTTGAATTTTTCTCCATTGAACGGCACATGGGCATGTTTATTTATTTATTCAGGTCAGCTAACCGTTTTGGAGCATTTTCCAAGAAACGTATGGTTCCTTGATGGGAAAAATCTCACTTTGACTGAATTTTTGCTAGTCTGAAGATTTTTGATCTTCCAATGCTTCAGCAATGTTGCTGTACATTACACTATGTAGGATTAGGTTGTTTTACCTGTCATTTTGTCTTCTTACATTACTAGTCATTGTATCTTCAGTAAGTTTGTTTTTCAACTTACCTGTTATTTTATTCTTTACTTTGTTGAACTTTGCCGTGCATGAAGCATTCAACAACTTACACGTTGTTTGACTCTGAGAATGCAATCATCATGGTGTACTTTAAATGACTTGACCTGTAATATTTTTATACTGGCTGATAAAGGAAATGTGTGCTTGAGGTACATGCCCTGTATTATTATTATTGCTCATTAGAAAGGTTAAACCCCTTCAAATCATCAGTTGAAATTTTACACAATAATTCAAGAAATTAAAATTATCACCTGTAATGGACAAAGAAAAGTGGATTTGGGAATATGACATGAGAAATCCAAAGAAGCATAAATGTCTTATCACATAAATTTTATTTTAACTTAGGACCTTTTCAAAAAAATCATAATTACTAGATACATGCTAAAACTTAAAAATATGTGGTACAAAAGAGAATTTTTTAATGCAACTTTACAGTACATGCAAATTAAACAAAGATTTTGAGAAGAGGAAAAAGAAAAACATCCATTTAAAGATGTGTTTTAAACAAACATTTATGACTTTAACAAATGAGGATGACAAAAAAGGAAAACAAATAGAAAGTGGAAATCATGTGGAAATGTACAAAAGGCTTACAAGAGAAAGTCAACAGAAATAGTTACTGAAATTGCATGATAAAGAGAGCAAGGCTTACTCAATCTAGCATTTCAGCATGAGACTTGTCTCATGATTTCAGGCACCTTGAAAGACCTTGCTCATACATCCGTCACAAGCACAAAAGGTAAGAGAATACATTTAAAACTTGGAAACTATATTTCCTACAAACAAGGCCTTTTTCCTTTCTTAATTCAAGGAATAAATTAATTGACAACTAATACAAAAATGACTAGACTTCTTGTAATAACTGCAATTAAAAGTATGCTATGATCATACTATGCAGTATGTTTCATTACGTTTTCAGCACAGTGCATGAGATTTGGTGCTATAGATCCAACTAGTATTGTGCTCATAACACTGTCAGTACTTACAGCTAAATGTGGAACATTGTGCTCCTCCTTGCCAATCCATTTCTTAACGGCCCTCAATTATCAACCAAACAGCACAGCCAATAGCCCTTTTGCTTCCTCAAACCTGCTTGTCATCTGACATTTCAAAATTCATAATTTAAGGTATAAAACATGGCAACTTGAACAGTTTCCTTTAAAACAGGGAAGGAAAAAAATAAGCCAGAGGGGGTACAAAGAGAAGAAAGCAAAGTTCTTTAAACAGTCGGCAAGTAACTATCTTCGCAAAAAACAAAATGTAGCCTTGTTTTATATAAATGAATAGTTAAAATAGGCATGTATTTGTACTGGGCAAATATTTTTTCTTTCTTTCTTTCTTTCTTTCTTTCTTCTCTTTTTTAATCAAATAGAAACAGACTTTTTGTCTCTTAATGAAACGGATAATGGTGTACACCACCTTCATAGAGTAATTGTTGATCAACGCTTCAGTATCAGTCAATGCTTCTACTTAAAAATTTCCATTATAGTAACACCCAATTTCAAACAGACAAATAGATGGGACAACAATGGTAGATTGAGCAAGCAGTTGGAAAAAGTAATCAGTTAATAAACCAACAACATAGAGGCCTCTATTTCATCACACATTCACTCCCTCATTCAAATTACAAAACAAAATCCACATTTCAATCTCAACAACAAGTCTTTAAGAAGCCTCAGGCCACATGCTACAACTACCAGGAAAAGACTAGGTGGAGGGCAAGGTCATGCTTCAACTTTAGTGAAGTAACAGTCATCCTGAGATGGAGGGTTGCAGGCCTTGCATAGACACTCTATTTTCTGAGTTGTGCTGTATTGTCTTTCTAGATGAGCAAAGCGCTCGGCTGAAGAGGAACAAATAGCCTCCCTTAAATTATTGCCCTATTCAGTTGAGTGACTAACTTCTTTAATGACAAGTTAAAAAAAAACATACCACAAACAACATTTGTAAGGACTGTAGATCCATTTCTGACAAATGTGCACCAGCTACAAACTTAGAATTTACAAAGGACCCTGCTATGAGGACACTAACATTGCTAAAAAATACAACTTCAACTACAAAAATCAAGGCACACAGGCCACTTTAAAATATGATTTACAAGACCTTTAGAAAGATTAACATATAATACAAACAGAATTGTATCCATAGGTTAATTCAGAAATAATTAGATATTTTACTGACACTATATGAACTGGGTATTCTTTTTAAACTGAAAGTTTGACTACCCAAATAGAAAGAGGCACACTCAAAGCAAAGTCAACACCTAAGTATAACTAAGGTTTCACAGAGACATGACCTGCCTAAACGACCATAATAAAGTCAATAGATTTGTCCCACCACATATTTTAAGAGCAAGCCTTGGTGACCGTCAATCTTGTGTTTTGAAAGTATATCAAGGTAACATTTGACACATGTTATTGCTCAAAGGAACTGAATTTCTATGAATACTCAGTCTAGGCATAAAATAAATATAAATATTATAAGAAACATCAGCAATATTTTTTGTCATAAAATGATCACTTCTGAATCTGACGGGAGTAGGGTCTTGCAATACCCTGTTTGAAGGTCATGTTAGGGATGATCAGTTCATCAGAACATTCCGGACAAATCCACTATTGCTATAATTAAAATAGTTCTACAAACAGTTTGTATCAGAAAGATTATTATCATTTGGAGTAGTGTTCTCCAGAAAGCATTTCCTCTGGTGCAAGTATTAGTGATTGTTACAGATTACATGGCAAATACTAAAAGTTCCAGTGTAATAGTTCGTTGCAGAGCCACGTTAAATATGTTTCTATCACTCAGACTTAAGGCTTAGAGCTTTTAAGTATCACCCTACACAAAAAATAAAACCCACCACCCATTTTTCAAAATTTAGTTAAGTTTAAAGTGGATGACCAATCACAGGTGAATTTTTGGTGAAGAGATTGAAATGTTACTGTAATCGTCATCCATAACAAATTGGTCGGATACATAACCCCACCTGACTCAACACTAGCACATAATAAAGGGGACAGATTTGCCATCTATTGGCCAGTAATGAGGTCTATCCAAATTTGGCAATGAGGAGCATGCCTAAGTGACACTTAAATTAACCTTACAAAACGTCTTTTATATACAACAAAAATACGTAACAGCTTATCCACTTTTATTAGTCCACCACTATGGTGCACCTTCACATTAAAACATAAAAAAAGAACATAAAAAAACATCACATTCACGTTGAAACAGCAAAAAATTTACAGAAAGGATTGGAAAGTCTAAGCACATTCACATTACTACATGTGCGTGATGTTTAATACAAAATGGTCATGAGTTGATCACAAATGGCCAATACACATTCTTCTAGGAAAATTTATGTATTATAAATAATTGCAGGAACCTGTTTAACAGTTATCTCTCACTTTTGGCGAGAATTTTAACTACTACATTTATACTTGTAAAAAACTAATATTATTTGGTGCCTTTTCCTGAATATTCTACTCTATTCATTGTTCAGCAGTACTATGCAGTCCTTTGAATTATTTGTTCAAATAAGCTTTCAGTAATGTAATATTACAATAAGGTAATAATTAAAATAATATTTGTGGTATTATATTGTAACACTATGATTAACATAAAACAGATAAAAATAAAAAAAAAAGTAACTTAGCTGCCAATAAATATTTGGATGCCACTGATCTTTGGACTCACATGGAACTCCCTAGGTCACATTTGTTCAGTAGGCGTCAACTGTTGCTAGAAGGTGTAAACAAAAAAATGGTGGAAAAAAAAGGCGGGAGAGCAACAACTTTGTTAAAATTCTATCTACAAACATTAATAGACTTTATCATGATTAAGTTCTCAGAAGCTTTCTTCCAATTCTATTTAAGAGAGCTTCTTCATCTGCAATAACATGTAGTCATAACAATAATAAGAAAAAGAAAAAAACAGGAAGAGAGGAGCCAAATACTTTCTACATAGGACAGCACATGTAGGCAACAATACTAAGTGTAACACAATACATTACAAAAGTCAATACTTCTGGATTGGTTGAATCTCCTAAGAAATAGAAGCAGATTTTCACAAAGTCTTACAATGGTTTACCCTTGGATCATACTCATACAATTTTGAGTCTGTGTAGTAATCAACATGTAACATCTTGTCAAGATAAAACTAAAAATGTTTACCACCTCAGAGGCCAATCTTGGCAAGATCTGCACTTGAGCGATGTACACGCATATGATTTACCAAATTATTCTTGTGCGCAAAGCTTCTCTCACAGTGTGGGCATTTGAGTGGTTTATTGACAGCATGTGTCCTTTCATGTTGTATAAGCTGTAACTGCCTTTCAAATCTTTCTCCACATTGACGGCAGCCAAATGGTTTCTCTCCAGGGGTGTGAGTGAACATATGACTTTCCAAACTGGCTCTGTCTGTGAATGTGGCATCACAATGTGTACAAGCATAAGGATGCTCAACTTCATGAGTGCGCATGTGAGCCTGCAGATGACCTTTCTGGGTAAAATTCTGGTTACATAGTTTGCAGGTGTACTGCTTATTTCCTAAGTGAGTTTTGCGGTGGTACCACAATCCTGCTCTTGAAGAATAGGTATTCGAGCAAAGCTCACATTTGTAGCATTTATCCAGTTTTGGGCTCTTGGCCAGAAGTGCCTGAATTTGTGCTGATTGAAGGGTACGCGGCTCAGAGGCTGGAATTGATGGTGGAATTGCCGATATAATCAAATCATTATAACGGGCAGAACCATGTCGGATTGCTTCTTGAGCAGCACCGCCTGCCACATCATCATCTTTTTTAAACATGGAGCCTTCAAAAATTTGGGCAAAGTTAATATCACTACCTCTCTGGACAGGTGTAGTCCTTGGACTACCTCTGCGTCCATTGTCAAAGGAAGAAGAACCTTTGTTTGGACTTAAAGAGCGACGAGTGACTTCTAATTCAACTTCTGCACCAACAGCCGCTGCATCACCAACTTCCTCCTCTTCAGATCGACGAACAGAGTTCGGACCTCTATTACCTTCTTCTGGTTTCTCATCTAATGAATCTGGTTCCCATGGGGGTGCCTGTCCTCTACTGCGATGATATTTAATATGGACTTCAAGGTGACTTTTCTGCGAAAACCTTTTAAAACAAACATAGCAAGAATACTGTTTGTCACCTGAATGTGCTTTTTTGTGGTACCACAATCCAGCCCGAGATGAGTAAGAACGGGGACACAGGTCACAACGGTAGCACTTATCAAGTCGCGACGCCGATCCGAGTACCACTCTAGGAGTAATACTGAGCTCTGAATCAGGTTGAGACCCCTGGGCATCGGATTGGCCTACAATAACTTCACAAAACATAGGAGCAAAATCCATATCTGGATCTGGGTCTGTATCACCATCTTCATATTCAGGTGGTGTTTTGGCAGGGACTGGGCCAGGGCTTGTAACAGCAAGTGGGGGTGAGCTCTCTCTGCTTGCAGGAGAGGGATTCATCACAGGAACCACACTTATGTTTCTTGCGGCCAGAATGTCCATTGCTCCTTGTATTTGATTTTGTTCTTCTCTGCTGGGGCTACAACAAAAGTTTTGGGTTACTGTGTGCAAATGAACAGTAGCGGGAAAATTGTAAGTGATCAGTCTAGCACATCTCATACCTCCAAGAGTCATATAACTCCTCAGTAGGCCTTGGTCTAATGGCTCGAGGTTTAAGGCCATTACTTGATGCTTCCTGATTGTATGAATTCTTTGGTGGCCGACCTCGAGGATTTTTCTTCATAGCTGCGAGGGCTGACTCAAGATCCATGTTTAATGTCTATAACAAACAGAGCAAGATAAGTTAATGACAAGAAAGCTACTAACTACTATAAAT